GAGTAAGCGTCTCTCTTGAGCTATGAAACGGTCACTGCAGTAAAATGCAACCCGTTGGTTTCTGCCACCCCAGCCGAACTCCCTGGCGAGATGGGCAGGAAGTGGGGGGGCACGTGGCGCTATCTTGCAGGAAGTGGGGGGCGCTGTCTTATGATGGGGCTACGGGGTGCTGTCTTGCAGGAAGTGGGGGGAATGGGGTGCTATCTTAAGGAGGGACATGGGGTGCTATCTTTCCGGAAGTGGGGGGGCGAGAGGGCACTATCTTGCAGGAAATGGGGGGAGCGGACAGGGGGTGCTGTCTGGCCAGTCAGTTTGCACAGATGCATCTTACATCTGTGAACGTCTCTGTTCACCTTTAGTTATTTCCAAGGGTTTGAAGACTTATCCTTAGGAGAAGAGTCACTATCTGACAGTAGTCCAAGTACGTTTCCATTGCTGGGTGATTTACTAACCCATCTTCGGGTTAAAGTCTGTCTTCCCCTTTCCAAAGGCCCCTTGCTTTCAGATGCATCTCTGAGCAGAACTTGGTACAGCGAAATGAGTGTAATTTTCAGAATTGCTCTTGCCAGTTTTCTCTGTTTGTAATGAAGCTTGTGCAGCTGTTAAATGGCCCAGAATCCCTGTCCATAGATCCTAAAATCCACATTGCATTGAACTGTGGTCCAGTCTACACCATCCCCTTGATCTCGCACCAGAAGTGTGTATACGTTGCCTTCATTATGCTGGCTTGCCACCTCCTCTGAACACGGGACTCAGTCCCAGAATGGGCCAGTTGAATGGTAGATTTCTGTTAGAGATTTTCTCTTCCTTTTACACCTTCTCCTCCAAGACCCCACAAAAGGGTGACTTTTGCCAGCATCAGTATTAGATTCCATGTAAAACCTCGTCCGAACATTCTTGCAGCCCTGGCTGCTATATCAGTCAGAAGATTCCCCCTCGTTTCCTCTGGCCCTGGGGAGTGAAGAACTGACCCATCTTTGGAACCGAACTTAGCCCAGGTGCAGAACACTCACTGTCGGTCCAGCGGAATCCGTTTTGAATTGGGTTGTTAAGCACGCAGATCGTATTTCAGATATCACATGCCATCCTGAGCCAACCTGGTTGGTTCCTGTTAAAGTAACGTCTTTGCGGCTCATTGCTTTTGATTCATTCTGTATGTCTGTGTCACAGCAAGTGGAAGCAGAAGGCAAAGGACCCCCAAATAAGGAGACACCAGACGAAATGGAAAAGATGACAAATCAAACTAAGACAGTGGAAGGTCCTAAAGATTATGCATCAGCTGTTTCAGGCAAAGACAAGAAGCAGCAGAAAAATCAAGAAGACAGTGCAAATAGACTTAAGCCAAGGTAGAGTATGCTTCGCTATTTTTTTAAAGTGCTGTTGAAAATAATGAGGTCCAGCCAGTAGCTGCTCCAGGGTAATTGTAGGTGGGTGAGCTTCCTTTTCAACATAGACTAGGGTTAAAACAAAAGTTTCCTAGGGCCTAAATCCTCCACAACATTTTACATGGGGCTTTCTGCTTTTGCAATTCAGTGGAGTTACGTCGAGGAGAAGGGGTCTGGTCATGACCCGCCTCCCGGCAAGGTGGCAGCGGAATTCTTTCGTTAAACTGGCACCGTGGATGTGGGGGCGGAGGTAGGGTTAGCTACATCACTCAGCAACGTCACTGGATTGGCCTAATTTTCTGTCCAGGCCTTAGGTTCAGTGAGGTCGAAAGATATGACATGGCTGTTCCAGATGGGAGGAGCCAGAGGGAGGGATCCCTCTCTGGCAGTGAGACCCAGCTGTTCGATGGGCACGGTGAGGAAGGTGGTTGGAGAGAGACAGGGCAGGAAGTGGCTCCATGGAGAGAGTCAGAAATAAGCAGGGCAGTTGAACTGGATTTTTCAATGAAAGAGGGAGCCAGTGACGTTGCTTGACGGGTGACGTGCTGCGATCAGAGTCCTTGGTACGTGACCGGGAATAGGCAGTAGCGTTATCCTACACATGATGGACTCTGGCCAGCTGGGTCTAGCACCTGACCTCTAACATCGCTTGTCCAGGTAGAAGGGATTGCAGTTGTCCGAGTGAGCGTGGATGGAGGCTCTAGTGACTATTTCTTTACAGGTGGTCAGAGCTGTGGCAAACCCGACATGGTTGTGGTTTGGTGGTGGGCAGATTGCAGAGCAGTGGGGGTGGGAATTATTTTTGATGGGGGGCCACTGCAAGGTTTTGGAGAGTGGTCAAGGGCCGCACTTTTCTATGGAGGGAGTGTAGGATCTGGGATGGGGGTTGGGTGCAGAAGGGAGCTTGGGGTAGGGAACTGGGGTGCAGAAGGTCTGGGAGGGAATTTGGGTGAAGGAGGGGGTTAGGACCTGGGGCGGGGAATGGGGTGCAGTGTCAGGGAGGAGGTTGTGACCTGGGGTGGGGGTGTATGGGATTGGGGGCAGGGTCTGGGAGAAGGTGTGGGTGGAGGAGCAGGAGTGCAGAGAGTTTGCTGACATGGGGCAGAAGGGGGAGCGAAGGGTTGGATGGAGGAGGAGGAGGTGGGGTACCAGAGGCAGGCTCTGGCCGGGAGGGGCTTACCTAGGTGGCTTTTGGCCCGCCGCCCCGCA